GCTGCCCTCACTGCCCTGCGCGGCTCCCGCTGCCCTCACTGCCTGCCTGCCCTGCGCGGCTCCCGCCACCCTCACTGCACTGTCCTCGGGCTCAGAGCCACAGGACCCAGGCCACGTGGGGTGGCTGCTCCGGGCAGAAGTGGCTGTGCTGTACCTCAGTGGGGACCTATCAACAAGGGAGGGAGAGGGACTTTGGTGCCCCTCGCTGTCTTCCCGCAGCAGGCCGGGGTGCACAGAGGTGTACCTGGGCCCAGGAGCCCTGTTGTGGCTTGGCTCTGCCACCCTGCGCACCAGTCCTCGGCCTGGGGCTGAGGCACCTCTGCTCACACTGCACTGTGCGTGGTCCTGTGCAGGCCACCCTACTCTCCAGAGGGCGGGTGCACCAGGAGCAGAGCCACATCCACCTGCACGGCCAGAATGGGCCAGCGTGGGCACAGTGCTGGGGTAACCAGGCCACACCAGTTCAGCCTCACAGGCACCAGAAATGCGCTTGGGTCTGAGGCCCTTCCGAGTTGGGATGGGCTGTCTCACAAGATGCCGATGCAGCACAGGCCGACATGCTCTGAAAATCAAAGCTGCACCTCCCAGATGCACTAGTGATACGTAGCCTTTCCCTCCAGACTGGAGGGCGTGGGGGCAGGAGCTGCGGAGCGCCATCCTGCCTGCGGGTGGGCCCAGGGACATTTGTGAACCAGGGAGAGCGCGAGCCCAGCAGTGGTGCTGCCAGAAGCGCTTCCTTACTTATCGTAGGATCCAGAGATCAGCGTCTGGGCCTCGAAGGGGTGGAACTGCAGAGTCTGTACCTGTGGAGCAAAGACATGCCCGGTCTACGCCGCCCCGCCCAGCGCCACCTCTGCGTGAGGGCACTGATCTGGCCGTGTTTCTACAAATGCTTCCCTCGGAAGTCCAGCCCCGTGTAAGGAAACACATGACAGCACTGAGGGAGGCTGAGGCAGGAGGGCTGTGGATCTGAGTCCAGCCCTGACAACTCAGTGAGACCCTGCTGGCCAGTGAAAACAGGGTCTGAGATGAAGCGCGGGCGGAGGCCTTCCGTCCCCAGTACTGAAGAAACACAAAGAGAAAATGCCTGCATATCCAGAAAGGCAAACTGAAGGTGCAAATAAAGGCTGCACGTCCAGGGCGGCACCCACACTACAGTGGGAAGGCCCACCGCGCCAGTGCAAGGCTCTGTGAAGTGCTTTCTGCAGACACCACCCGGACCCTTCTCAAGGCTCCGGCCTGGCCGCCCCGGGACAGGGTCTCATAAGTCAGAGCTGTGCAGCTGGGCTCAAGCCCTCAGATTCCCCTGCCGCAGTCTTCCAGGGTGCTAGGAAGGGTCATGCCCAGCTGCGCAAGCACTCTGTAAGCAGCAGAAAGTGGTCTGTAGACACCTGCCCCAGGTGTCCGAGGACCGCATACCTTGTCTGTGTGTATGGTGAGGCTGGCTGCGGGCTTCCCCAGGGACATATCCCACAGCACAACGGTGCCGTCAGCAGATGCGCTTGCCAGCACGTTCCTGAGGAGCAAACACGTGAGACCACCTTTGAAGCCAGCGGCATCCAGAGTGAAAGGACCCCCTTTCCAGCAGCATGCAAGAGAATATGCCCTTAGGCATGAGCGGACCTGAAACAAGCCTCGGCTTACATCTTGACAGCAGCCAATGTACCCAGAGACGTGAGCATGGCAGTGGCAAGCCACACGCGTCCCTCCCTCCCGCCAGACTTCCCGCTCTAGCAGGCATGGCGCCAGCGCAAACACACTGCTCAGATGTGTGAAGGGAGGGCAGACAGATCTCGGTTCACGGGCAATGGCCCAAGGGGCCAGAACAAGTCCTGGAGGAGCACAGCAAAGCTGGGACGCTCATCCACCCTGATCTCAAAGTGCACTGAAGAGGCAGCGCGAGGCAAGTGCCGCGGGGCCGCAGCAGGAGGCAGGAGAACCCTGGGTGCTTCTGAGAGCAGGTGGAAGGGCCAGGACGGGACCTCGGGCTCAGCAGTGGTTTCTCAGATACAACACCGAAAGCACACGCAACACAAACACTGGCCGCCACTACCCACGAGATGCGTGCTGCCGGGGCTGTGAGAGAGTAAAACCCCGAGTGGGACAACGAGGGTGAGTTGCGTGTGTGGCTGGAGACTAAGATCTAGAGCACAGGAAGAGCTCCAGCAACTAACTAAAAAGTGGAAAGGCCGGCCAGATAGCTCAGCGGATTAAAGTGCCTGCTTAGGCAGGTGCAGGGATGCACGCTGAGATGGCGATAGAGACTGGGCGTGGTGGCACGCGCCTGTAACCCCAGCACTCGGTAGGCTAGAAAGGGGAGGATCGCTCCCACGCTGATCTGCATAGACCCTGTACTAAATACATTAAAAAATAGGGCCACACCTTAACTAGGACATCGCTTATGCAGACAACACACAAGGGCCCGCAAGCACAAAGCTGCTCAGGGCCACAAATCACTGAGACACGCAAACCAAAAGTGCAGGGTGGGAGCATCTCATACCTGTGTAAGGCAGGACTATCATAAAATAGGGAGAAAGAAACAGCAGAAGGGTGCAGAGAAGCAAGTGCCTGAGTGTGCCCGTGGTGGGGTGAGAGAGAGGTGCAGCCGCTAAGGCAGGCAGGGCCTCGAGGTCTCAGAGCTGCTGTGGGGCCGCCGGCAGGGCTGGAAGCAGGCCTCCAATGCACCATCCTCACTCCCCGCGGGGTCCTTATGGTAGGAGCAGCCCAAGCACCCGCTGGTGTGTGCACACAAGGGCACCTGGTGTGTCACAGCACGGACAGCCCCGAGGACGCCACGCTCACTACAGCAAGCTGGCCCAGGGAACACGCACCAGAGGATTCCATCCATATGAACTTGTGGGACAGTTACCTTCTCGGGGACCACAACGGCGTGGCAGGTGCCACAGCTGGAGGAAGCGAAAGGGGAGCTGATTTTCAGTTTTGACAGGGTACAGAGCTCCCCTTTCGGAAGATGAGTTCTGGGGGTGGACAGCAATGACAGCCGCACAACGATGTGGACACGTGGAGTCACTACTTGAAATGGCTTCAGCAGTGACTCCTGAATTTTGTATTTAGACCATAATTTAAAAGCAAAATACATGAGTGTGTGGCTGAGGTGGGAGAGCAGAGTGAACAAGACTTCCAGCAGCACGCACGGGGCGGTGCAAGGGGCACGGGCGGGGTGGTGCAGGGGCAGGGGCAGCGCTGCGGCCTCCGTAGCACCCACAGAGCCCCCGCAAGCGGGCAGGGCTGGCAGGAGCGAGCACGACGTTCCGAAGGCCTTCACGGCCCATGGCGCCCCCTTCCTTTACCTGGTTAGCTTATTCCACGAGAGGTCAAGGACGGCGTCGGTGTGCCCTTCCACGGGGGGGCTCTGTAATGATTGCTTAGTTACTTCTTGTGCCGAAGTAAAAAGCCGTACAGCTCAGAAGTCACCGCAACAACGCGAGCTTGCTGTGCGGTGAGCGCTGCGGTCTCCCCAGGTGAGCGCGCTCCACACGGCCCCTAATCCCTGCTCTCCTCACAGCGCCCACGCTGGCCGTGAGAGGCTGTGGGAAGACTGCAGACTGACAACCCAAGCCACACAGGGCTAGGTGCTGGCCTCACTCTGCCCTACTTCCTTACCTTCTTTCCCTTCTTCTTCTTCTTTTTAGAAAGCTTGCTTCCAAGCGTGAAAACTGGCTCCAAAGAGTCCACGATATCAAGGTCCCATACTTCAATGACAGGGGTCATGTTTCCCACAGCAATGTAATTTCCTACACACGCAAAGAGCTTTGGGTTACTTCAAAAAGGGGACAAAAGAACGTATCAGACACACTCATGAGAACCCGTTCCGTGTAGCCCTGAAGGCGCCACCGTGCAGGGTCCACCTCAGGCCCCGAGGACCAAGGACAGCTACGCAGCAAGGGATAGCGTGATCTCTGGCCTCAAGGCCCTCATCTACATGATCAGGGAAAGGACTGGGCCCCTCTGCCCTGGCTCCTCCTCCACAGACCTTGTGAGGGTGCCCAGGTCCGAACCTGAATGTGTGAAAGCTTCGCAAACAAAACAGGAGGAGTCAACAATGCCAGGGTTACCTCCACTAGTACCGCACAAATGCGGCTACAAAAGCTAATACAAAAGCCTATGTTACAAGCCTCTTCATTGGGGGCCGGGGAGATGGCTCAGTGGAATAAGTACTTCCCTGGCAAGCACAAGGACCTGAGTTCAATCCCAGGTTCCACCAAAAAAAAAAAAAAACAAGCCTCTTCATTTAGCGATATCTGATGGTTTTTATCAAATAGGTTATGCCAATCAACTCTAGCCAGCAGTCTCAGACCATCCCGGCCACACCGTCCTGGGTCTTCACGGGGCATTACCAGCACCGAGCCAGGCTTCTGGGCCCTGTCCTGCAGCCGGCAGAGGCAGGCATCGGCCCGGCTCACCTGAGGCCTGGGGAGACACAGACCCCCACGGAGACACGACGCAGTGTTCAGAACCAAGTGACTGCAGCAACCTCACGACACGTGTGCAGCAGCTCTGAACACGCAAAGCTGGAGTCTTCTAATTACCTGTGGAATCATCGGGGCTAGGATCGAAGTTCAGCCACTCCACGCTCAGGGGGTACGCAGACAAGAGGATGTCATGGTGCACGTAGAAGGAGTCTTCCTCCCGGTTGTAAACTGAGAAGAACAGAAGAGACTCAGCCCGAGCGGGGCGGTCAGCAGCCACGGCCAGAAGTTACGTGGGACAACAGTGCTTCTACTTCTTTCTTGGGACTTAGGTCACTACAGATACGTCTAACAGAACACTACTAACACAAGTGGTGACGCTGAAGCCCAATGCCAGTCATCACTGCCAGGCAAAATTTCTGCACCTCTAAATATTGCCAGCACCTGGCACACCCCAGAGTGGCACACAGAACTGACCAAGCCACCCTGCACACAGCCCCAGGTAAGGGGTCCCAGCTCCCAGCCCCCAGCCCTCGTTACAGCAGGCAGACACACATAGATCATGGCCGTGTTGTCTTCTAAAGTGAGCAAACAGAAACCACTGGGGAAAATCACATTTAAAAATCTAAATGCTTGCCAAGCTGGGCGCGGTGGCTCACCCCTGTAATCCCAGCACGTGGAGGCTGAGGCAGGACTGCTTCAAATTCAAGGCCCGCCCTAGCTACACAGCGAGTTGAAATACATGAGAGTGCCTCAAAAACAAACACATAAAATAACCCACAGAACAGAACTCATACAAAAAATAAACGCATATCTACAACTTGTTGTTCTTCAAATATTTTTAAAAGACCAACCAGTTTACGAAGACCAACAACATGAAGGGGAGAGGGAACTCGTGGGGGCATTTGCTCTGACTGCACCTCACAGCACGGGACAGGCAACACCGCAGGTGAAGGAGCCAACTATGTTTACGTCAATAATGTGGGGTCTTGGCACTAACCGATACAGCCCAGATACCAGCATGCGCCTTCCTCACCTCCACAAACACGCTTTTATTAAGAATGTAGTAAAGCCGGGTATGATGGCACACGCCCATAATCCCAGCCTGCAGGAGGCTGAGGCAGGAGGATCACTGTGAGCTCTCGGCCAGCCTGTGCCATAAAGTGAGCTCAAGGCCAGCCTGTCTCAAAAAGACAAAAAAAAAGTACAGAAAAAATGTAGTAAATAATAAATTGAGTATTTTTAAAAATTCTTTCCATCTCTCCTGGATGGATCCTGGGATTAGCAGAACGCTGGCAAAGGTCTCGCCTCTCCGCCTCCGATGGGAACGCAGGCTCAGCGACTGAACTACAAACTGCAGTCCTGGAAACGCCCAGCCACATTCACTGCGCTTCACTCACACGCAAAGCAGCGCTGTGACGCTCCTTGAAAACACGCTTTAACCCACACCAGAGCGCCTGCCTGGCAGCTTTGCAGAGCCCCTGCGAGGCTGAATGTACACATGCGGGTGCTGTGACGGTGCTCCCAAACCCAGGCAACAATCGCCCGTCAGGGCTGCACCCAGAAGGCAGTGGGGACACTTTTTTTTAATGCATTTAGTTGTTGCAGGGTCTCACTACTCAGATCTACCTTGTGGGGATCCTTCTGCTTTCAGCCTCCCCAGCTTGGGATTACAGGTGTGCGCCACTAAGCCAGTGGACTCTGGCTGGCTTGGCCCATCCTGGGGGTGGGGCTGGCGCGGCATGTGGTGCTTGGATGGAGCCACGGTCCCTGTGATTGCCTAAACTGGCCTAAGCTGGCGCTCTAGTCCTCTGAGTTAGCTCGCCAGCCCTGGAAATACAATTGTTTCATTTCACTTTCTCTTAATTGCTGACACTGAGTTCCAAGCAACAACTGTAATGCTCTCAGACGAAAATGATGACAGAACAAATGTAATAGGTTTTAATATTCTGGTTAGGACTGGCCTCATAAATGAAGTTAACCAAGTGCTTCTTACCCCAAATATGTAAATGTTTGAAGACATCAAGAGCTAAAAAAGAACAACTTCATGTTATAGTGCTTGCTATTCAAAGTCTTTTTTAAAGAAAATCTTCATAAGTGACCATAATCAGCCTAAGTGGGCATAAGCCTCAGGCGCGAAGATTTTACGTTTCAGAAATCCAGGCTAAGAAATGGAACTCAGCTCAGTGCTAGCCATCTCCTTGCACACACGAGGCTCTGGCTTAGGTGCCTGGTGTCTTAAAAAGACTCTGATTTGAAACTTGCACTCACTGCCCACTTCAGATTTCTGCAGAGCACTCGCCTCTGTGCTACACTTCCGGAGCTAGGCAAGATGACCACGATCTGCGGGCTGCCAAAGAGCGCTGAGGCACTGTATGCTGACTTATGATGGGAAGGTACGAGAGGGGTGCTGCGGTGACTCCGGCACAGGGAGAGAGAAGCTGTCCACTCAGCATAATCTTAACCACATAAAACTTGCCCCACAAAAATGAGTAATGAAAAAAACAGGGTAGCAAACTGTCAACTCAGCATCATGAATTAAATTTTTCTTTTATATTTTTAATATCATTTTACTTCCAGGCTTCTATAGTAGAGAAAGTAGAAAAACTGGCAAATACGTTTTTTTTTTTTTTGTTTTGTTTTTAAAAAGTAACGTCAAGGGGGTCTATTTATTGCTGCAAAAAGGTCAGGTCCCAAGTGAGCCAATGACCAGAACACCACCTGCACAGATTCACCTGTGTAATCAGCTCAAGGGAGGCGCAGCAAGATCTGCACCCAGTGCTCCCCAACAGTGACTGTGTGGCGAGCTCAGTGCCCTCCAGAACACCTCGCAGCATGGACCAGTCTTACTTACTGTGCACCTCTAAATTGCACTGCTCCTGTTCAGCTCGGCCACAAACTATGAGATTGTCGCTAGGCTTGATCAAGAAATCTTCTCGTTCGTACTGTTCCTGTGTGGACAGGCCAAAGGTTGGTTAGAGGGAGAAATCCAGCCAGACTTTCTAACAGGAGCATGGCTAAGCAAGTGAGGGGCACTTACTGTATCCTTCAGAGTGACGTAAGGGTCTTGGTCATTGCTCCCATAGACCGTAAGCCCCAAGAGCGATTCGCCAAGAGTCTCAGCATCTGCACAGATTCACTAGTCAAAAGTAATACAATAGTCCTCTTGAAGAAAGCATTATCCTACAGAATTGATCTTTGGAGTATAAGCCAGCCACTGCCTATTTTATAGATAACCAGATCACCGATTGTTGGGAAAGGAAACAAGGCAGGAGTTTACGAGCCAAGTATCCTTCACCTCTGAAATGCACTGCTGACAGGCTTGCAAACTCACTTGATGATGGAATTCTCTTATGGCACATCTACGAGGGTAGCACAGGACAGACCCAGAGTAACAAGACGCTCAGGAAAAAGAAGACACACTGAGTTGTGACGGAAGCTCCTTCGGGACGCTGGGCTGGGGCTCTAGACATCTGAAACCGAGACCACTGGCTGCTGCTCCAGAGCCCTCAGGGTCTGGGGCTGCCACCCAGGAAGTCTGACAGAAGACTACAGAGGTGAAGGCCTGGTCTTCACCGGCCTGCTTCACATGTCTAGACTTCCTTTTCCATCTCCCTTTTCTCTTAGAAACTGGGGTTCTCTTTTTCTAATCATCTATAGCAGCAGCGTTTCAAATGCACATAGCCTAAAAAGTGGATAGCCTGAAAAAGTGAATGCCCAAGGAAAAGGTGTAAAAACGCAACTGCGCACACCATGACTGCACAGGAGAATCCACAGTGGTGACAGATGACTAAACCTCACGTGTGCACTAACACGCGCACTATTTTTCCTACGGCATCAGACTTACATTTCAGAGCGGGTGGATCACGCTTTTCTCCTAAACTAATTTAGGAAACCTGTTCCCGCCCAGATCACATGGCTGATGAGTGTCAGAGTAGAGCTCCAGACGTGTGGGCTAACACACCAGGCCTGTGATCATGGCCGAGAGCAAGCCTGCCCACCTGGGTCCCCGTCCTCGTCGTATCTGTCCAGCTCGTACTCGGCCAGCTCATCATCACCCAGCGTGCGGTCATCCTCGGGGCCGCCATCCTCTGGGGGCTCCCTTGGCCGCGCCTGAGTCCGGGCACTCTGCATGCCATCTCCGCCCGCTTCTTCCTCGTCGCTGCCAACTTCGTCTCTGTGAGAACAAAACAGAAAGACACAAAACACCCACGTAGCACGTTCCAGTAATGAGCGCGCCAAGCACCACGCTCTGACATCTACACTTCAGCAGGCCCAGACCCCATAGCAGCATTCCGAAACTTACCGCAACTTTTCCTTCGCTTCTGCAATGAGGCGCTTTACTTCATCTTTACTTAGCTCTACCTACAAGAGAAGCGACACTTCATCACTGTATTTAATGAAGTCATTCAAAGTCTGAGTTAAAAAGATCTGCAAAAAAATCGTAAACTGGAGCTTCAAGGAACATGAGACGCCAATGTCGGTGCTCTCGATTACAGAGCAGCTCTGGTAGTCCCACTCCTCCTAGGACACCCCCCCCCCCCGGCCGTGGTCCCTACTGCTGCTGTGGAGTACTCGCTCACAGCGCTCATATTCCTGCAAAGGCCACTCACTCAGCACTCCAGAACCCCCTTCACCGATCCACTCTGCAGCTCTGCTTTCTCATCTGCTGGGAAGTGTTCCTCGTGGGCACCCGTGGTCCCAACAGAAGTCACCTCACTTGAAACCCGACAGCCCACACCAAAGCAACACTTCAGTCCCTTTACGATATGCCGTCACTGCACAGCCGCAAGCCCTCTGAAGCCGGGTCTGCCTGTCACCGTCGCCTGCGCACACAGCTCAATGCGTGGCCCAGGGTCACACCGCATACATGGTCACTCAGCTGAGCAGCCACTCGGGCCTCATCAAAAGCCTCCAGCAAGCTCTCCAGAGGGACACTCCATTGTGGAGCAGCTCAGAAGGTGAAGGCTAAGTGTCAGAAAAAGACGCTTACTTGTCTAATTTCTGGTCTGAATAAGCCTCTTCAATTACACCCATTTTCTACTTCAACAAATTCTAAGTTAATTTCTGTCCCTAGTGCGTAAGCCTGTAACGAATGCATGCTGCAAGCCAGACACCAGAATCAGAAAAGAACGCAGCTGTGCCCTGCTGCCACCGCGTCGGCGGGGCCTACTGCCACCCTCAAGCCGCTCCATTCCCATCGTGCTCCTTGGGTGTCTATGACGACAGCTAACCCGACCCCTTCACCCTTTTAGGTCACTGACTGCGGCGCACGGGCTCCGTTTCCCGTCTGGCCCGCGTCAACGCTCAGCCCGCGAAGCAGGAACACCCGCAGCGACCTCCACGCGTGCGGCATCCGGCCTCCGGCTCCCGCAGGTTTCCCTTCCCTCACCGTCACTCCCCTTCCCACTGCCGCCCGGATGGCTGAGGAAGTCTCCCGCTGACTGCGGCCTCGCCACACCGGGTCCCAGCCGGGCCTCAGCCAGCGCTCGGAGGGCGCGAGCGGCCGCGCCGAATCGGCCGACCCCACCCCCACCCCACCCCACCGGCGGACCCGCCCTCCAGGCCGCGCCTCCGCGGCGCCGTAGCGACCCGCAGCAGGCCGGGTGCGCCCGGGAGCCCCGCGGCCAGCCCCACCTTGTCCGGCGTCTCCTTGGCCACGCCGCAGCGGACCCAGGCCACGCACGTCACCTGGCGGCTGCGATTCATGCCAGCGACTCCAAGAGTTCCCAGGAAGGAGCCCGGCCGCCGGGCGGAACGTGCAGGCGCACAACTGACGTCAGTCCCACGCGCCGCGGCGAAAGGAGGAGTCGGTGCGGGGCGCTCTGCGCCGGCGCGCCCGTGACGTCACTGGCGGGCGCCCCGGGGACGGCCTCGCAGAGTCCCGCGGCGGACTTCCTCGGACGGCCCTACCGCGGCTGGAGGCGGCGCTGAGACCGGTCGCGGACGGCAGGTGGCCTCGGGCGTGGGGCCCCTGCGGCAGGCCTGCCCTGCGTCGCCCGGCCCTCCGCGGGTTTCGAGCCCGCGTGTACACTGGCGACGCAGCGCGACGGGCGCCTGCCCGCGAGCCGCCGCCCAGCCTCTGGGTTTGGCTCTGCGACGGGGTCTGGGAACTGCGCGGGCTGCGTGCAGCCTTCGGGCGCCCCGCTCAGCCTCCCCGGGAGCTGGGCTCGCTGCCGTAGTTACGGTGAAGTATGCGGGACAGAACCTCCCATCCGAACTATTTTAAGTGTATAGTTCAGTGACAGAACCTGCTCGTTGGGTTTTGACGTTACTTGTTAATGCAGCAGTAAAAATGCGCGGTGAGGACCAGCTGTGTACTCAGACTCGAGCGCATGGGCTGATTTGATTTTTTGTTAGCCGCCGCCGGTTTAGGCACCCCAACTCTGTTGAGTCCGGTGGCCCCCAATAGAAAGTGGGCTGGCACTCTGGTTATTTGGGGCCTGCCAAATCTACCTTTTACTGGACTTATTTCCGACATTCTGCCTCTTTCCTTTAAAAATGAAAATCCAACTGCAGCTGGCTATATCTATTCTTTATCATGAGACTTTCCAGAGACTGAACCAAAGTAGCTCTGTTTTTAAGCCTGATTCTTGGGGACAGATGAGCTTATTTCACTTTAAAAAGCCTCTTTGCCAGAGGCCAGAAAAAATTATTTGGTGGCCCACTGGTTATTGGGGTTGTTGTTGAGACCGGGTCCCGCTATGCAGTTCAGGCTGGCCTTGAACTCAACTGCAGTCCTCCCGCCTCAGCCTCGGGAGTCCTGGGATTGCAGATAGGTGCCACCACAGCCAGACCTCTTGTTTATTCTTAAAGGTCCCAGAGGATCGAACCTGGGCTATGCCCGGCTATTTTTAACCTCCGTGGCTCCTGTAATTGGGCTGGTGAGCACTGGTAATTGGCCTTGATTGCTGGGAAGAAAATGAAGTGTATAACACCATCCTTTTCCTTATTAGGCTGATTCTTGCCTCTCCTCTGTAGCTAAGCTATGATATTACCTGATAAGGAGTTGAAGGAACAACAATAGCTAGCAGCTACCAAGTATCAGAGACTCCTACCCTGAACAGATTTTATGGTGACCAGGACAGTGTACAAAACCAAAATATTTTCATGGAACTGAACTTAATTTCCACTGTAATGAATACAAGACCCATGAGGGTCTTGTTAGCCCAGTACTGTCAGTGCCTAGCAGACACAGGCCTGCAAATATTTGCTGGACAAATCAATGATAATAGAATTCTAAACTGAACTTCAAGATCACAGGAAACATATCTAGTCCATATAGTTAGCAGTGACAAGGTGCTGTCTGACCCCTACTGGAGGATGTTTTTAGGCCACACACGTTTTCTGAATAGAGTTAACCCAATTCTCATTGCCTTAGGCCTGAACTGGAACTTAATTAGAATGACTTAAGAATCCAGTTACACAAATGGCTTCTGACAAATTTGGGTCTGGGGGCTTGTCTCACTGTCAGCAGGGCTTGACCTTTGTCCATGTTTCCTTGATCTCCCAGTATGGGCTTCATTTCAGGCCGCCAGCAGCTTCAGGCTTGAAGCGCCCTTCCAGCAGCAGCCCTGGCCAAAAAGCACTAGCATTTGCCTCTTCTTTTCTCTGTCGTTTGACGACTACCTTTGACTGGCTGTGGAACCGAGGTATAAGCAGGACTTGATCTCCCCCTTCAGAAGGTGAAGGAGAGAAGAGTTTATACTGGAGGGTCCTGAGTGTGGTCTCTGTCACCCCACCCCTCCTCTTGTCCCCTGTGCCGCAGCATTCCAAGCCGGTGGCGGAGAGTTCGGGGAACGTAATTATTTGCGGGAGGAAGGCAGTCGTGACATCCCTGCCCTGGCTAAGGAGGGATGGATGGTGGGATGCCGTTAGCTGTTGTGTAGTTAAGGGGATTCGTGTCTGAGGCAGAGAAGCTGTTGCTGGACTGCAATTACATAAGCGCCACGCTTACTGTCGGACCCACAGACCTGGCACACGTATGCCCTGGTCCAGTAAATACTGAATGAGTGGGTGGATAAATGAGTGAGAGTCTCACTTAACCAGACATTCATCCTTTTCCTTGGGGAAAAAAAATTTAGGAACCCTGAATGCGGGCGTACGGCTCCCCCTAGTGGACGCTCAGGACCCTGAACATCCCCCCCCCCAACTGTTTTGTTGCCTTATTTGTTTATTCCAGCCTGCCTCAGTTATGTGCTCTAGAGGAAAAGAGCCGGTAGAATGGAAGCGTATAAAATTCTGCAAGGGGGTTTGTTAGGTAGCTTACAGGGGCAGAGGTGTGCACCCCAGCGAGCTGGAGAATCCAGCGGCTGTTAGGGTCTGAGAAGCTGGAAGCCTCAGAATAAGGAGAAAGCAGCCTGAGTCCCAGGCCACAGTCCTTGGTGTGCGTCTGCGCTGGGTGGCAGGCGAAACGAGACTGCGGTCGCCAGCAGTGGCAGCAGGAGGCGCACCACTCGTGCAGGGGCTCTCCCAATGTCTTCCAGCTTCCTTCACTCCCTTTCCTTCCATCCCTGCTGGTGCCACCCACAGCCGGGGTTGTCCTCCCTCCCCCAGATCAGGTGTCTCTGGAAACCCTAGAGGCACAGCGAGAACCGCATTGTGCATCTGCCGAGCACCCCCTGAGCGTGTCCGATGGACACCAGTTAATAGTCGTGGAATTTTACCCCTTTGCACGGCCCTCTGAGGATAGCAGCGAGGTCTTGCAGCTGGGCAGAAGCCAACTGGAGCCCCAACACAGGTGACTTGGGAAGGTGTTGTCAGCAGAGAAAACTAGGAGCGATGGATCACCTTCACAGCGCCAGCCAGCCAGCCAGCACACAGGAGCAGGGTCCTGCTGGGCAGCCCACCCGCTGTGTGGGGGCCATGACCTCATCTGGGGGAGGCGGAGGCTGAGCTCCGGCACAGCTCTGGTGGCCTCACGTGGCGCTGGGATCTCAAAGCTTGTGCGACAGCCGCGGACACTGGTCTAGACTAAGTAAGGGGCCCCAGGCCTCACAGCTAACCAGGGCCTGAGGCAGGCCTTGAACTCTGATCCTGTGGACTCCAGTGCCTGTCCTGTGGGCCTGTGGTGACACTCTGGAAGCCTTGAGCCCTGCCGTGTACTCCACACACACCCAGCGACTTCCTGCCCATGGGGAGCCTATGCGTCACAGCAGTTGAGACTGTCACCTCGAGCCATGAAACCTCAGAGCCACCCTGACTGCTTGCAGACTCCTGAGAGGTGGGCCGTGGCAGTCACCTGTGCTCCTGCAGGGTGGGTTGACAACAACAAAGCGTTGCCGGGACAGTTTACACACGCACGCGCATACACGCGTGTGCAAATGCCTGTGTGCCGTTTAAATACTTCCCAGAATCTCCAATCTTCGTTTTGACTATAAGTTGTTATGAAATGCATCTATATGCCTTAGCTGTTATTTTCTATCCCTGAGCTTTTGCTTCTCCCTATGTAGTCACCTCAAAGAGGTGAAATTTAGACTTTTAATGTAATTTGTAAGCAGGGTCATCTGAAGTCACAGACGTGCCAACAGGCTTGGGGACCAGACACATTTCTCGGAGGAGGTGAGCCTGCCTGGCGGGCCCTGCAGTTCATACAAATGTTATGTGTGTCCTGGGCGTAGTGTGCATGCCATGAGAATATGGTACCCCACTCTCGGGACGCGGACATGCTCAGTTCCTGATGTGATAACGCAGATATTAAACATGATCTTGCTTTAGCCTGTCTTCATTTTCAGAGCTGGAGCTCCCATGTAGACGAGACCTGGGCTTTCCCTGCCCTTCCGAAGCCCCAACCTGTTCCAAGATACCAGGGGTGGAAGAAGCTGGAAAACAGACCCTCCCCACCGCAGGACATGGTGTAAATGAGGCCAGAAGGTCGGCAGGGTACAGCTGGCCGGGGCGCTGCAGAGGGGCCCCGGTTGCTGATAGTGCTGTGTCTGGGGAGAGTGCGGGGAGGAGGGGCCACCCCCGCCCCTCAGTACTGTGGTGCCGAATATCCCCTGGGGACAGAAGCGCCCCATGAGTCACAGAGTACCTGCAAGCATCTCCAGGCTGGCCTAGGGAGTGTGCCCGGGCAGGCGGGCAGAGTCAGCCTGGAGTTGGCTGGATTATCGTTGGGCCTCCTCCATGCTGTGTCCGACAGGACCGTGGTCTCTTTTGGGTGAAAATACTTGATAGGGAGACGCGCCAGCCTCTTAGGAAGCCCGTAAGCAGTTTCTTTCAGGGCGCCGTAAGGAAGGTGCTCAGGCTGTGGCCTTGTCCCCCACGTGCGCTAATCCCAGGCTCCTCAAGCCCGGTCAGCGCACAGGGGATGAGCCGCAAAGCCCCGGCCAGTGGCGGCTCTCCCTGCAGCGTTTGTTTCTCAAGGTTGCTCAAGTCTGCAGGGGCGCTGAGGGCCGGGAGGGTTTTGCTTTGCTTTCAAGGGCAAAGCTGCACTGGGAACTGCACTCGCTGAGCTCAGCTCCCGCTCCCGTAATCTGGCCCCCTGCCCAAGGCCACGCCTCCATGCTGCCACACCTGAGACAGGATTGAGCACCAGGCTCTGCAAACTAGCCACTTGTGCTGCCTCCTTCACTCGGCTTACACGCCCCCGCTGGGCCACAGCTGGTTTTAGTGAGCCTCGAGCGTGTACAAGTGTAGCTTCACAGGTAGTTCTGCGCTGGCCACGTCCTCTCTTGCAGACTGAAGCGATTGCCACTACATACCTGGTGAAGAGGCCGATGCACAAGATCACTGGGAGAACCAGGTAGCTGGAAAGGGAGGTACGTGGACAGCCAGCCACAGTGTCC